AAAAATAAAATAATTATTTTTTTTGTTTTCGAGCTCGAGCTTGACTCGAATCGATTCGAGTCGAGCTCGAGCTTTAAATTGCCAGCTCATCGAGCTCGAGCTTGGTAAAATTTAGTCGAGACTCGGCTCGATTAGTCCAAAACTCGACTCGACTCGTTTACAGCCCTAATCGAACCTATAGGTGATGGTACATCCATAGTTTTCGATATTTATTTTCATTAATTCATAGTCATTACTTTAAGTTAATCTTATGCATGTCGATTTAGATAAAATTATGGCCAAGTCTTGTGGTTGATAGCGAAAAAGTTGTTGAAGGTTTTAAATATAAAATCAGTTCATTTATTGTCTTCGAAAAAAATCAAAATACTTCTAGGCACATAATCTTCAAGGGTTCTCTCGAGGATTAGCAAATACATGTTGACCTAGAAGGTCACCCCAAAATCTTCAAGGATTCAAGTGCTAATTTGTCAACATGAATCAAGATACGCTTCCGCAATTTTTCTGTTAATTTATTTTTTAATAATTGCCATATAGATTTTGGATTTAATAGGTGATAATTTTCACCAAAAGTTAAATATAAACAACTACTCTAACAAGTCATATCAGAGCCCATATGATTGATTATTAGGAAATAATTTGGATTCGATAATTTTTATCTTTAAAAATAATTATGTATGATATTTGTGAAGAATTGGCCAACGAGATATTTGTTAAAACCATGATTGTTGACTTTTTTATTCACAATTTATTGCTTTGTGCTTCGGCTTTCGGGTTTACGGCATCATGATTGTTTGCATATGTTATAATGGATTTTTCTATAATGGAGACAGTACGGATGTCTCCACCAAGAGAAAAGCTGGCCAGATGAAGGATCCATTGGCACCTGTCCAGCCGCGGAAATCAAGGCTACATGGAAACGGAAAGGAGAATTGCTGAGCCGGTGTTGTTGCAGGCGGCACATGTTCCAGCTGGACGTCCACGTCCAAGCAGATGGCGAGAAATCTGTGATGTTCCAGTTGGACGTCCGCATCATTGCAAACGTGGAAAGATGATTAATTTAAGAACGGAGACCAACGGAACACTAAATTGCAAATGGCTCCTAAAAAAGGCTTGCTAGTAAAAGGGGTAATTTCAGAAACATCCCTCACAATTTTTAACAAGTACACATACCTCTGTTGAGATTTAAAAAAGACAATTGAACTGCTAAATATTGTAATGAAATTCTCTTATTTGGTATACGTATATTTACAATGAGTTTCCAAATTATTTGTTAATTCTTTTTCCTCCTTATTTGTTGTTGTTATTTTTTCGTCAATTAAACTGTAGAACGGTTACTATTGTCTCTAGTTTCTATTGTAATTAAATGTCGAATTAGTAATTTTTGTAATAGTTAATTTTATATGTAAATCAATGTTTTTATTTATCTTGTTTCCATTTTTTTAATCGACAAAAAATGAAAAAGAAATGGGCCAAAACCACTATTAATTTATGATAATTCCATCACTTGAAAAATTAATAAAGTCTAAATGATTTTTTTAACATATTTTTTCTAGTTTATAAATCTAAATCCATAATAAAATATCATGAAAAAGTTTCCAATCATAATAATAAAATTATTATTATAATTGTTTATAAAATAGTAGATATGGACATAAAAAAATTTGGCACCTATTCTGTATAATTGTACTAAATAATCTTATAATTGTATTGAAAACAATTTAAACTCTTTTTTTTTGTTTTTGTTTTTTATACAAGAGACCCTGTCTGAAGTACTTACTTGTCTGCAAGCGGAGATCAAGGCTTTGGTGTTTGGGGTGCAACAATGCTGTCTTCGGGGTTTCTCGCGGATTCGGGTGGAGGTGGATTCTCTTGTGTTAGTAAACCTACTGATGAGACAATTCAGGTGTCCGTGGTCAGTTCGGTCGGATCTGGAATCGTTACGGGCAGTCCAGGGCTTGGAATGGACGGTGGGGCATTGTTATCGGGAAATGAATCAAGTGGCGGATGCCTTAGCCAAGGTTGGGGCCCATGCTGAGGGTGTTATCTTGTATACGACACAGTCTGAGTTGCCAAGGGTGGCAAGGGGGGCCTTACGTTTAGATAGGTCGCAGACTCCTACGATTCGTACTCGAGCTATTTCCCACTGAAGCTTGTATTTTTGGATTTTCTTGATTTTAATAAAATCGTAGTTTTATAAAAAAAAAAAAAAATCTATAGACACCAGAGTTTTCATTTTCAAAAAAAATATATATATATATATATATATATATATATATATATATATATATCTTTGCCATCCTTAAACTCAGAACAAGTGCTCCAGCAAGACTACAAAACTGCACTCTCCAATTGAAACAACTAAAGGCAAAGAGGTAGATATCATACTATATACATACCAATAGCAGATAAATATTATACGACCATAAAGATCAACGGAGTTTATTCTGAGCAACCGCCTGGCATAACTCCTCCTCATAAAATAATGCTCTATTAGAAGCCAAGGATTTGCATATAGGTTGGGATAATGCTGATGGTACCAAGCACCTTGAAGGAAATGCCGACTCCTGGAAGAGAACAGCTGCAATTTGCCGCATCTCAGTAAACTTGAGACGCGAGGGAGGCCTAGGACCATGCCTTGGTGCCTTTGGGGTGTGTGGGCTAGGTATCCAAATACCTTTTCCATCTCCCTTGCTCATAAAGGGCCAGTGATCGGTTGGCAAAGGAGTCATTGTTCTTAGCATCTCTTGTCGAGTTCGATCATACAAGGGCATTTATGGGTATTTATTTAAATTTGTCAAAATCAATATTATTTTAATATATTGTTACTAAAACTATTGAATTAATGGAGCTAAGCGTAATTTTTCAAATTTCACGAGAGTTCAATGAAATTGTCAGAAACCTCATGAGAGGTTTCCTATATCATCCCCAAATAAAAAGCATAGTATAGATGCAAGTAATTTGTCGCAGGTTTAGTATGTTCATAAATAACAACTTTTATTTTGCGGGTGCAAAAATTTTTTTTTTTGCTTAATGATTAATTATGAATTGATCCAAGGTGTAAATAAATCTATAATAATCTTTTGTCAAAGTATTCATAGTTGTATGATGAAATAATTGCATTTGAAGTATTTATGTACCATCGTAGTCTTTAAAAATTTATGTATACAAAAATAGTGTGGTGCAATCATATCTACTAAATACTACAATTCATACAATAGATGAAATGTATTCTCTGGGGTGGTAATTAAATTTATGATGTATGCGATTATATTGACATCGGTAGTCATTTTAAGTAGAAATAAAAGGAAAGATAGCATAATGCATTTGTGCATTACTGGCGTATTACTATGTAACAAATATAAAAAATGAATTAATAAATATACACGCAAAGTACTCTGTATGATAATGCAAGTGTATTGAAAAAGGATAAATAAAATTAGAAGGCAAGGATAAAACGAATAACTCAAATGCATTAGGTGTGATAGAGGTTATTAGAAGAGACAAATTATAAATGAAATTAGTTGGAAGAGAGTTAGATGCAAAAATAAGTAAAAATCAAGTAGAACAAATTAGTTGTTATACAATCAAAATAGATAATTATCGAAATTGGTAGAGTATAAATGATCAATTCTTGAAATAATAAATATGGTATATGTGTGTGCATGCGTGCATACATGTGTATATGTGTATGTATTAGTAATCACGATGAAGTCGAACATTCCATATAGGCGCACTTTTGGCGGATATGAGAAGTGAGATTTATGGTCCATAAGAAGGATGTGATTAAAAGTTCTAGGATGGAAGCAAAGAAGAGTTAAGTATTGTTACGTTTTTTTAGGTGTGTAGATTATTGTTCATACCTTTAATATATTCATCTTTTTAAATATAGGATATATATGTCTTGTTTCATTAAAAAAGTAATTATACATTAAATGAATATTATTTAATTTGTAAAAAAAAAGAAGCGTAATTAAATTTATTCTAAATCATGAATGATTTTTAAAATGCAAAATGAAATAGTTTTCAAACTGAAATTGTAGTTAGAGCTCAAGGTTGAATTCGATTCCAGAATATTTTAACAAATTGACATCGAATTTGAAGTCGAACATATATACAAATTATTGAAGTGAATTCGAGCAACATTTATAGGTCGTTTAATATTCAATCAAGGTCAAATTATGTTCATATAATATGTGAACATATGTTGAACATCATGAAATATAATGGATTTGGCTCATGGAAAACATATTATACAAGTATAATAAAGGTAAGAAAATCTGTGAACCTAGTAAAATTAAATGGTAGAGAAAGTGAATGGAAAGTAGATGAATGATCGATTGCTAAGTAGAAAAAAGGAAAACATTTGTTTTGGGTAATTTGGCAGAGAGCAAAATGTACAAGATATTAGCAATGCTTTAAAACCTAGTTAAGACTATATGCTCGATGCAGTTACAACGTTGCATAAAAATGAGTTTATCGATTAAAAAAAATGGGAAAATTGCCGAGTTGTGTTGTTAACCTCTAAAATGGGAACAATTTTGAGAGAACTTAGTGATGCTATATGTTGCTTTAATGAAGTCCCAAAAAGATTAAAATCGGTCAACGAATGTAACATCAATAATATTTATCATAGGTGTCAATGCATCTCATTTGTGTGTACCTTTTTTGAATGCCTATCGTACAAAATAGTATTCACATAATTAAGATAATTTAAAATGTGAATGTTAAAAATGAAATAACTAATTGTATGGAAATGTGTAGTAGTTTGTACTTATATAATTTACTTTAGTCTAAAATAGCCAATAGTGAGGACATTAAAATGAGAATTCTTGCCAAAACAATCCAAGAATTTGTTGGGAATCTTACAAGATTGGTTCATTATTATGTCTCTGATAAATGGTCATAATTTCATCTGGGTTTGAATCGTACTGAGAGGTACAATAATTTAGAGTTAAAAAAATTGTTGAAAAAACAACAAGATATTCCTTTTGTCCTTTCTAGGCAATCGAAAAAATATATTGAAGGTGCTTATGTCTTTACAAAATACCATTTCAATTCATCTTATTTTATTAAATATGGGATGTGATATAATTCTGAAGGATGAATCGAATATATATGTAATATTTGTACTTTTAGTTTGCAAAACAGTACGCGGTGCTGATTCATTTGAATTATTTTCATTACCCGCTACCACTTCGACCGCCCACTAAGCATTTACGGGTCCCATGAACAACACCTAACTCACTATCAAACCGGTAAGAAACCGATACTGTTGGGCTGCAACCAAACAGCACGTGCTGGCCCTTCCCATCAATGCTGCTGCGGTGGCTCATTGCACACCACATCCTTCCAAACCGTTGCTTTACTCTTCCTGGAGATATCCGTACTGTCTCCACTATATAACCATCCATGTTTTCTTTTTTACCCAACGGCAACATCATATTAATCATAAAAACAATACAGAGTCAGAAATCAATCGACAATCAGGTTTGCCTGAGCTAACTCTGGCAGCCATGCTGGGAAGTCACACTTCTATTCAGCGGTATCTATCAAATCTGTAGCAACTTTTGCTAACTGGTGACTAACAGAGTTGTTTGGCCTTCTAGTGAAGGAGAAACAACATTTGTCAAAATTCGTTCACAGACTCCAAATATCTGCTAAAATGGTGGCTAATCTGACCTCCTTCTCCTACGCATTAATCTTGTCTACTACCAATTTACAATCAGATTCAAACTCTACCATCAACCATCCCTCTCTGCTGGCCCGAACCATCACCTCCCTGATTGCCAGCGCTTCTTCAACTTTCGCCTCAGCATTGCTTGCCGATGGACATGCCCAGGATCTTATCACCATTCCATGACTATCTCTTGCCACGATGCCCCATCCGGCTTTACCATGCGTCCCGTTCAAAGCTGCATCCGTATTGACCTTAATCCAGTTACCTTGTGGTTTCTCCCAACTCTTGCTTACCCCCTTCAGTCCTGCGCTGTGACCCTCTTTTACTATCCCTGCTTCCTGAGCCAAGTGGTACTCATTCCATTCCAGCACTGCCTTATCTACTACCACCCTTGGATCCATACAATTATTGTTGAATTACTTGTCATTCCTGGCCTTCCAAATCTGCCACAGAAGGTTCACTGTTAGAGTTATGTGGTCTCTCCCATTTTCCCTACTCGAGGCCCCTCTAAGTTCTTCCCACCAATGCCAAAAGCTCTTATCAAACACCTCCAACCCTTCCCAGCTCAAGGGAGCAACCTTCCAGATTGCTCTAGCACTACTACACCTAAACAACATGTGCTCCAATGTTTCCACACTCTCTCCACAGCACTTGCACATTGGGTCCCCTTTCACACTTTTCTCCCTAATCACTGCATTAGTTGGTACAATTCCCTGCAAACACTTCCAAACAAAGTGTTTTAGCTTGTCCTTCATGTTTAGTCCCCACAGGAAGTTCCAGTTCTGGGACTTCGTTCTCCTTATGCTAGTTGACTCTTGGAAACCTCTAGCATAGCTGTTTTCCCTTTTCATTACCTTTACTTGATGGTAGCCAGACTTTACAGTATAGCCACCTGAATTTGACTTTGCCCAATACACCTTATCTGGTTGCTTGCCCAGGCTTAATGGAATCTGTGTGATGCTTGCTCTGTCTGGTTCCTCAAACTCCTGCAAGAGCAGCTCTTTATCCCATTGTCCCTCCTTAATCAGCTCACTAACCCACTGAATTTTACTCTCTGGGTTCCTCTTGGATCTTATCCTCCCCTGCTCGGTATTAGGCAGCCATCAGTCCTCCCAAACATTAATATGTTCACCATCTCCTACCCTTATGCACATCCCCTCCTCCAACATCCCTCTGGCACTCAGAAGACTTCTCCAACACCAAGACTCAGTGCCCTTTTGCCTTGCCTCCCACACAGACTTCCCTGGAAAATACCTAGCCCTCATTATGCTACTCATTAGAAGATCTGGCCTCATTTGGATCCTCCATAGCTGCTTCCCCAACAAAGCCAGATTGAAATCCAGCAAATCCCTGAAGCCAAGTCCCCCCTCTGATTTAGGCTCAGTCATTTTACTCCACCTGATCCAATGAATCTTCCTGTCCTCCTCCCTCTGTCCCCACCAAAACCTGGCCATTTCTGAGCAAATGTGTCTGCATAAATCCTTTGGCAATCTACAGCATGACATCACATAAGTGGGGAGAGCTAGAATAACAGATTTTAACAAAACCTCCTTGCCAGCTTGACTCGGTAACTTTTCCTTCCATCCCTTCAGCCTGTTGACTGTCCTCTGTCTGACAAAGTCAAACACTTGCCTTTTCGATCTCCCCACAACTAATGGCAATCCTAAGTATTTGCTCTGTTGCACATGTTGCATACCTTCCAGTGACTGCAGTACTTCTTCCTTCTGCCTCTCATTTACATTTCTACTAAAAAAGACCAAAGACTTCTCCTTGTTTATGAGCTGTCCTGAAGCTTTCCCATAGACCTCCAGAATTCTCATAAGCTGCCTAGCATCAGCAACCTTGGCTCGACAGAATATAAGTGAATCGTCTGCAAAGAGTAAATGAGACAAACTAGGAGCACCCTTAGCTACTTTCATACCAACTATCGTACCCCTTCTAGTTGCCTTACTAAGCAAAGCCGAAAAACCTTCAGCACAAATTAGAAAAAGATAAGGCAATAAGGGATCTCCCTACCTTAGCCCCCTGGATGGCTTAATAAACCCCCTCTTTTCCCCATTAATGTTTATAGAATAAGAGACACTAGAGAGACACTCAAGAATCCACTGGATCCATATAGGACAAAAGCCCATTTTTTGCATAACCTTTGCCAAAAAAATCCGTTCTACCCTATCGTAAGCTTAGACATATCCAACTTAATAGCCATATACCCATTTTTCCCAGTTCTTTTGTTTTTCAGGAAGTGAATGCTTTCATGTGCGATAAGCATGTTATCTAAAATCTGCCTGCCAGGGACGAAAACGGATTGGGAGGGACTAATACAGCGATCAAGAACAGATTTGAGCCTATTAGACAGCACTTTTGAGATGATCTTATAAAGAACATTACACAAACTAATAGGCCTATACTCAGTTATCTTAGTTGGACAGTCCGTTTTAGGAATGAGACTAATCAGAGTTTCATTGGTGGACTTAAGAATATGACCAGAATGGAAAAAGCCACGAATTGCACAAATAACATCATCTTTAACCACATGCCAAAATTTCTGAAAAAAGACAGGGGACATACCGTCTGGCCTGGAGACTTGTTAGGATGCATGGATTTGACTGCATGGCAGATTTCCTGTTCTGAGACTTGTCTGGTTAGCATTCTGTTCATCTCAACAGTTATAGACAGTGGGATCCCTTCCAAAATTTCCTCAAACTCTGTACGATTATCAGAAGTGAATAGCTACTGAAAATAATCCACCACTTCCTCATGGCAGTAGGCATCCATGTTATAATCCAGTTTTCATGGCAGTAGGCAATTCATGAATTGCACGATTCATTGTTTGGTTAACAATGAATTCAGTGGTCCCACTTTGATTCAGTACTAGGTGTGGATAATATAAGAAGTTCTATACGGAACTAGTTCTAGGCTTGACAATGATGGCTCACCTAAAGAGCTGCTATTATAATTAATTTCATCCATATTCCTCCTAAATGCAATGTTTCAAAGGTAACCCATGGAACCATGTAGTACAAATTAAACCTTCTCAAATCTCTTGGGCCTGCAAATTACGTTGATTTGGTACACCCATTGATAATTACCTCCTCCTTGGTCACATTAAAAAAAAAAGTTTTATTGCTTCAAAATTTTAAACTTGACTTATGATTAAGGGTCTATCAGCTACTGTCCTCGAAAATGGTTCATCACCTACACTTCATGATGTTATCCAAATTTTAGATTATCCTTAAATTTTTTATTAAAATTATACTGGCCTTGCTATGTTACCTATGTAGAAGGAAGCATAACAATTACTTTGATCGAAAAACAGTATATACAAATACCATTAAATTTTATAGTAATATTTTATAAAATTTTTTTGGAGGTAGAAGTTAACATTTACTTCAAATCTTATGTGAGGGAAAACTAAAATTTCAAGATTTTAAAGAGTTAGTGACTAGGAATGACAATGAGATGGATTTGGAATTAGAGAACCTTCTCCCGTCTCCCCTCCTGTGCTTTAAAAGCTTCCCCTTGCCCTAAGCTATCCCCCCTGCCCCCACCCCACTACCCAACCAGGGTGCCCCAATGGGTGGTTCAAAATAAACTTCTATTTTTCCTAATTTTTCATATATAGTATCAACAAATAACTATATAAATCAATCTTTTGAACTTTTAACTTATATTCAACATGAAATGAAGTTTAAAATATACTTTAGTCTTTTAAAAATATTTCTCCGTATTTATTAGCATAACTAAAGTAATATCTGCTACTATTATTATCTTATTGCAAACATGCACTACACACAAAAAATTCATTAAACTAAAAATAACAAAATCATCATTTTACCACACAAATCATGATATCATGAGTTTCAAATTATAATGTATATGTCTGTATGTGTATGTGTCTGTGTCTATATATATATATATAGGTGGGAATAGTACCGATACAAATCCCCTCCACCCCTACTATATATAATATGTACATAGATATTGACAAATATAGTTATGTATTAATTAATTTATTTAATTTATAGGTGGGGATAGTACTGAGACAAATTCCCGCAACCCCTAGTCCCACTCCGCATTTCTCTCCACCACATTTCTATCCCTACGGGGCAGGCATCCTTACCGATCGTGACCCCTCTCCATCTCTTAATTCCCGTGCCATTAGAAGGGCCAATTTAGAATGAAAGTGAATAAAGTTGGCGTCTATGCTGCCCTATGGTTAGGTGACCTATAGCATTGAATGGTTTCATTTCTAGCTTTGAATAATGAAACCATGAAAATGAAGTCTCAAGGACGAATTGTGGTGCCTCAGTCAATCACCTCGATGATAGATCACGCAACGGAGTGATACTTGGTATATGATTGTCTAATTAACAAATCTTTGCAACAACATGGATGATTGAGATATAGTCAAGTAACAAGGTTTAAAACTTTAAGAATTGTTTCATTCAGGAGGCACGATAGGAGATGAATCTACTTTCCAATTATTTGTACAAAATTTTATAATTTAAAAAATAAATAATAATAACTGAAATTTATAGCGAGTCCACCCTTTCTATTTTATATGCTTATTCTGTGCTAAACTTATAAGGACATAATAGAAAAACCCAAAATTTGAATTTAATACCATATCAACACATAGTTTTCCTTTTGATTTTTCTATGTTGCCACGTAAGATTGATATTTATTTGATAAATGTTAGAGTTAATGAAACTAATTTGACAAGCTGTTGATAGAAGTGGACATGGCATTGACTCTATAATTCTTCTATTGATTAAGGTTTCTTATCCCATGCACTTGGAAGTTGACGTTTTACCTTTTAAGGGGAAAAAAAGGGAATTGTGAGAGGTCCGCTTAGAATTGGGGCCATCAGCCTAACACTTTTGCCTTTTAAAACATTCCCAGTCGGTTTCATCTGGCTAAATTTCCACAATGTTGATGGGGTAAGATTCGAAGGAGTGAAGCTATGTCAGTGAATAGAATATGAAATAAACGAAAATCAAACTTATGAAATAGCAATATATTCAAAGATTTATAGTTGTGTAAAATAGCAAAGATTTTTTTTTTTTGGTTTTTTTTGGTTCCCCTTATCAAGATCTGGCATAAAAAAGACTTCTAATACGTCGTTGATAGCATATACAATTACTCATCATTCTCTTTCATATTTAAAAAATAGATTAATTTTCAATACATTAATAATGTATACAGTATTCGACTTGTATGCATACTATTTGTTTCAAATTTTAAATTTTAAATTTAAATTAATATTAGTTGTCATGCATTCGAATCTAATAGCATATATAGTGTCAGTATATACAGGATTAATTCTTAAACAATTATACAATTTGTGGTGAATGAAAGTTGGGGGAGGCGATGAAGAGGGGACACCATGTCAACAGTGTATATAAGTTTCAAAGAGAAAAATCATAAATGTACTAAGAGCCTAAAAGTCTTCGATTTGGGTCCTCATTGCGTCAATGAATGATTTCCCATCTAGTTCACGGGAAAAAAAAAGGCTTTTGAATAGTCAATCATACTAATTCTTTTGAAAATTGCTGAATTTTCAGGGGTGATAAGACTTGGCGTTGGACCCATACCACCATCCAATTTTGGGGCGAGAAACGTCGCAATGGAAAGCCTTTCGTTGTGCAAATTCACAGTTGCCCGATGCTCAACACTCTTGTAAATCCCATTTGTCACAATCTGCATCTCAGTTTAAAAAATCACATTATTCCCAACTGTGTACTGTGTAGCATACATTCTCATAAAAGTTCAATTAGGCTCAATAATAGGATATAGTTGACAGGGCAATCTTGTGAGTCCACCTATAACTACTGTTATGCCCCAAAAACATTGGAGATAGAATTCAGAAGCCATACCCTGATAGATCCAGGACATGATTTGTAAGTAACTTGTGTAATTAGCATTGAAATCAAGACAAAAAGTAAATTCCTTTCTGAAAATCATAACAAACTTGTTGGGAAAAAGAGCAAGCACTTTTTTCAAAACGATGAAAGGAAAGTAGTTTGAATTTTATCACTCGTACATCACAGGTAAGCAATAATTTGGAGGGTGGAGTGTAAGAGCATGTACAATACTAATTTTGAAGTTATTATGCCCAAGTTTTACATTCTTGGGAAATATTACTCGAATAATGAAGTAATTAATCAATTAAATTGGTTACTAATATGAATAAAACTGCTTTTTCAATATAAAGACCTTTTCATTCATATATTTTATGTTTTTTTTTTTACTTTATAAAGATACGTGTTTTATTAAAGTACTCAATATTCTACCAATAAACAACATTTGTTAACTCTGACAAAGCAGCCAAAGTTAGAAGTTCAGGCACAAATTTGTCAAAAGTTAAATTTTGGCATGAAAGCTACACTTTGACCTGGCCTCATTTTCTAGGCAGTGCAAGTTGATAATTAGTCTTACACATCAACCTAGTGTAGGCATACTAATCATAATCGGAAAGATTATCTCTTGAATACTATTGAAATATGGGAAGGACATTCTAATTTCCATATATGTTCATAATTGTAGAAACCAATTTGAAAATATCTCATAAGGGAGGCCAAAAAATAGATAGATGTTGTAATTATATAAACAGAAAAGCAATTTGAAGAGATTGCTCATATTCACATTGCATCTTGGGAGAAAGGATTTTGAGCATGATTACCTCTAAAATGTCTCCAACATTGACTGTGAATGCATTAGGAAGTTGTACAACAGGAACCCAAGCTCCAGCCTTTTTGATTTGGAGGCCTTCCACTTCATTGACTTGCAGTAATATGGTAAGCCCAGTAGCATCAGAGTGGGGGCAAGGGCCGATCACTAGCTCAGGTTGGGGACACGGTGGATAATTGTTCATCCTCATTGATTGCAGCCCTTCTTGAAAAAGCATTGTCATATCTTCAAGCTTCATTCCTAATGCTTTTGTCATTTGCTCAAGGACCTTGATGGCAAGGATTTTCAATTCCCTTGAGTACTGGTCTAGAGTTTCTCTACAATGATAAAAAAAATGTAAATAAAAAGTAAAGAATATCCAATATATAATAACAATACACAATGCTTTAGATGTTAACTAATTTTTGATGCATGCAAGGATGGATGTTTTATCATCATCTCACGGTGACATGGCTTATTAATTTTCCTCATAAAGACAATTAAGAAGGTAAGATTTAAGAAAGGGATAATTTCATAAACCTTCCCTAAGATTTTTAACAATTTTATTGAGCTCCCTTAAGGTTTCAAAAATTACACCTACCTCCCCTAATTTGACACTTTTGGTAACCAAACCTTAGACTTGGTCAAAATTTTTAATGAATCTTATGACGTTTGAATTACTTTCCAGAACAATCATAATATATTTAACACAAATATACAAAAAGAGTGTGAAAGTTTTAACACCATATTTATTATTTGATAAGAAAAGATGACAATAGTTCTATCACTATGATAAACTACTTTTAATGGTGATTTACCAGGGTATGTATTTTTTAATTTGAAAAAGAAAATACCATCATAATTCTTTTAGAGTTAGTAGAATTTTGGATCGATGGAACTATCATAGCTTGGTAGCAATTTTGGGTTAAAAAATAAGAAGAAAAGGCCTATCATGTGGAGACTTTAAGACAGATAATGATCAAAATATTCAATCCTTAGGACACTTTGTGGCTGATAAGCTGTCTTTTTTTTTTTCTTTCTTTGAAGGAGTGGCTGATAAGCTGTCTTACACATGGAATTTTATTGAAGGGGTAACATTCGATGTTTCATGTTGTACGTCGGCCCCTAAGACAGTACGA